GGATCAATTGAACCTTGTGAGAATGTATTTAGTTGTGCAAGCACACCATCTCCACTCAAAGCTTCTGGTGCAATTCTTTCTTCTCTTGTGTTATCAAAACAACTTTTATTTCGACGATAAGAATGATCTTTCTCCAAAAACCTACGATGACCCATATAGAAAAGCTTTCGACCATGTTTTAAGTAAGTGGAACAAGTATGTACATGACAAACCGGACAAGCTAATTTACCTTTAGTGCTCAAACCGGACAACATACCATAAGCTGGAATTAATTGTCCACATCAAAGAAGCATGCAATTTAAAATTTTGTTTCTTAAAAGCATCATAAGTGTCGATTCCACTCTCCCATAAGATTTTCAAATCATCAATCAGAGGTTGGAGATACACATCAATATTCATACCAGGGCCTTTTGGGCCGGGAATAAGCAAGGACAACAAAATATTAGATTGCTTCATGCATAGCCATGGAGGAAGATTATATGGAATCAAGACTACTGGCCAAATGCTATAAGAATTACTCATAGAACCAAATGGATTAAAACCATCAGAAGCAAGCCCAAGTCTTACATTACGTGGATCTAAAGCAACTGTCGTATGTTCTTCATCAAAAGTTTTCCAAGCTAATGTGTGTTTGGATCAATTGAACCTTGTGAGAATGTATTTAGTTGTGCAAGCACACCATCTCCACTCAAAGCTTCTGGTGCAATTCTTTCTTCTCTTGTGTTATCAAAACAACTTTTATTTCGACGATAAGAATGATCTTTCTCCAAAAACCTACGATGACCCATATAGAAAAGCTTTCGACCATGTTTTAAGTAAGTGGAACAAGTATGTACATGACAAACCGGACAAGCTAATTTACCTTTAGTGCTCAAACCGGACAACATACCATAAGCTGGAATTAATTGTCCACATCAAAGAAGCATGCAATTTAAAATTTGTTCTTAAAAGCATCATAAGTGTCGATTCCACTCTCCCATAAGATTTTCAAATCATCAATCAGAGGTTGGAGATACACATCAATATTCATACCAGGGCCTTTTGGGCCGGGAATAAGCAAGGACAACAAAATATTAGATTGCTTCATGCATAGCCATGGAGGAAGATTATATGGAATCAAGACTACTGGCCAAATGCTATAAGAATTACTCATAGAACCAAATGGATTAAAACCATCAGAAGCAAGCCCAAGTCTTACATTACGTGGATCTAAAGCAACTGTCGTATGTTCTTCATCAAAAGTTTTCCAAGCTAATGAGTCAGCTGGATGCCTTAGTACTCCATCATCAATTCGCTTATTTTTATGCCACCTCATATCTTCTGCATCTTGTTTTGTCATAAACAATCTTTGTAATCTTGGTATCAAAGGAAAGTATCTAAGAATCTTTCTAGGAATTCCTTTATTTTTCTTATTCAAATTTCTGGAAGTAGGCTCATCATCATTATCTTTTTCTTTTCTTACAATCCATCGTTTCTCACCGCATTTAGGACATTGCTCAAGATCAACATATTCCTTTCTATATAAGATGAAATTATTAATACATGCATCTATCTTCACATAATTTAGACCCAAATTTTTTATGATCTTTTTAACTTCATAGATAGAATTAGGGAGCACATTTTCCTTTGGAAAAGCATCACTCAATAATTTCAGCAAAGAGTCAAATGAAGTAATACTCCAACCATATAGACACTTCAATTGAAACAGGCGCACTATAAAGGAGAGTTTGGAGAACTTTTCACAATTTGGATATAACTTTTGGTTTGCATCCTTTAATAAGTTATAAAATCTCTTTGCTTCTATGTTAGGCTCTTCATATCTAGGCTCAGTGGTCTCATCAAACTCATGACTATTGGTGGGGATACCACGATACATGTCATTTAACATTTCAAAAGTGGAAGTATCATCGTTGTCAAAATTTATATCTGCACCTGAATTCATTTCATCATCTGAAGATACCTCCGACTCACCATGAAAAATCCACCTATCATAAGTTGGATTTATTCCCCACTTAAGCAAATCATTCTTTACTTCTTCTCTTGTTTTCCAAAGCACATTACTACACTTAGTACATGGACATTGAATTTTTACACCAATCTCAGGATTGCAAAAGGCATAGTCTAAAAATTGTTCCATACCATTCAAGTACTCTGGTAATGTCCTATTCTTAATATGTATCCAACTTTTATCCATCATATACTTACCTACAATGACATATAATATATTAAATATAAAATTATATGATTAACTATATCTTAAATTGCTATTGTTTATAGTACAAAAAATTAGTAGAGAAAAGCTCACAAAAAGAATTCTTTAAAATGGACTCCGAATTCAAATATTAGAGCAGATCGAGAAATGGTTATTAGAATACAGTGTTAGACAAAAAAATTCACTTTAAGCTATTTCAATTTTAAATTCATCGTATTCTAATTTAATCAAAATACCAAACTATTTTATGATACAACACTATATAACATTGTTTTAGCTACTCCTCGTATATGAATTCTCTTTAAGTTTCCTTCATATTGATTGTTGATTATGAAGAAAATTAATGTAGTGTATGATAGATTAATATTCTCGTACGTCGACTAATTTCATAGAACCTCTTATCCCATCCACCCTCTCACACGCATATGTAACCAAATCAACTAACTTAGCACAGTTCAATGAAATCTCTCAGAGATACATATATGGGTATATCACTATTGCATATTTAAACATTACAATTACACGAAAGAGAAAGAGTGAGTGACAAAGAGAGAGAGAGAGAGTCCCATTAATTGGAGAAACAAACAACTAAAAAGAAAAGTTGAAAAGTAAAGCACAAGACAGAGTAAGATATTAAGTAGAAAACTTACCTAATTGAGCAAAAGTTTCAGAAATCTTATAAAGTGCTTAACTCAGTTTACTAAGATCTGCAAGAAAAAATAAGCAGCTACTGTTTTTTATGTATCTTTATGTGTCTCTGTATTGACATATATGATATACACAACGAGAAAACAAGAAAGAGATAAAAACAAATTCAGACACAATGTGCAATTTTACATTTCTGTCAGACATAAGCAACATAAAAACAACCCAAATTTTTTTGTCAAGTGTCTTACAAGCAGGTTAGCTGGTAAGATCTCTCAAGCAAGAACGATTTATCAGTTTGTCAAGAAAGTCATGTAAAAATTGATCAACTTAAACAAGTAACTGGTGGCTTCAATACACAGTATGAATACGTTATTAATCAGCACCAGACTGAATTCAAGCATGCTTTCTATAACAATTTATTTTTGCAAGAATCAGAATGTGACAAAAATGTGAAAAATAATACTGGAGAAAGTCAAAAAGTCAAATTGTGCAAATAGTCTTCTTGATGGATTATTTCTAATAGACTCTCGACACAAGAAAAATAGTCCAAAGCAGTCCAGAAATGGAAGTACAAATAACATTTAAATAAGAGCTACTATTGTTTTATGATGTTGGTGTCAAGATCAACTTGCACACACATCGACTATTCCGCTGAATACATGTTACGGCCCACCAATGTAGATACTAGATAACTCTACCCCCAAGGTTTAGTCAAAAGGAGTGTACACATTTGAAATCTCTTTGTGCTCATCCCACTTCATTGACCACTAGATCATATCTTGGGTGACAAAAAAAATGTTACTTCACATTATTTCAAAAATTAATTTAGTCACTTTTCCCTTCTACACTTTTTCAACATCCAATATAATTATCCATTCCAATCTTAGAAGTCAGCCCACATCAATTAAAATGGTAAGGAGTGAAAGTGTGCATTATTATCTTAAACAATGGAAGGTGAAATCCACTCTGTCAAAACAAATTTATAGAGTGACTGATGCTTTAACACTTAACTAATAAAAAGAAATGCCTGAAAAGCAACAACTAAATGATCACATGGACATATAAGCTCACTTTCTTTGCTCATAAACATCATAAGAAGAACAATTTTGTCACGCCCCAAACTCGAGGGACGCAACTGGCTCCTAATGCCAAAACTCAGGCCCGAGCCGACCCTGCTGAACCATTTGCTAATAGCGCATGACAGCCACACGCCATCAAGAAATCAAACAAGTATATCTCGGCTTAAAACTAAGTCCTCGGCCGGCAAGGCCCCTATCAACTGATCTATAAAAGAAACAGCTACTCCCAGGAGATCATATAAATAAATAGACAACTAGTACAGAAGTCCTGATTGGGCCGTCGAGGCCACCATGATATCTATACCAAAATTAAAAGCAAGTATATATCAATACAATACATCAAACAACTCACAAGCTTCCGCAAACCAACAACATAGGCCAGCATGGCCATAACGTAGCTATAAACCCCACACACTAGTCTGCAAGCCTCTAAGAGTAGTAAAGATTGGTGGGACAGGGCCCCAGCCTACCCATAAAGATATATATACAACAAAAGTTAACAAACCTCCCAACTCTGGCAACTCCGGAGGAAAGGGGCTAGCCAACTAGATAAAAGTCAATCCTGCTGCTGAAGAGGTCAACTCAGTCGTCTGTTAGGACCTGCTTGCATGAATGCAGCGCCCCCAAGGCAATGAGGCGTCA